GAAGGTTAAACAATTAAAAAATTCCTATTTATTGGGCAAGCTGCGCAAGTTCCCAAACCTTTTGAAAAAACAAACAAAACACTCATATTTCAAACCTTTAGTACAGAATACAACCTTTGAGGTGTGAAAACTCTAGTGTATGAACTTTGAAGTGTGATCAACTCTATACCGTACAATTTCGTTAGTTTAACGGTTAAAAAAATTAAATATTGCCAAAACTAAATATGAATAATTGCGATCACAGTCCCAAACTTTGTATTTGTTTACAAATTATACCAAAAATTTTTTTATTTTTACTTTGGTTAATTTTTATCAAAAGAATATATAATAAAAAGATCATCATATCAATCAATCCAAGGAAATAAATAATATTTATGGCAAGGACAAATCTTAACTTGATTTTTATTATTTATGCCAAGGAGTAAAATATTAAGCCTTTATTTTATTTTTGATTTTTTCAAGATGATTTTTTCTCAAATTTATTTTCAGTTACTCATTCTTTCAATGAAATAATTTTGCATATCAATTCACAAACATTTCTTATTTTTTAATCAATTGTTCTTAAAAAACTATCACTTTTTTCATAAAATTACTTTTCAAAAATCAAATCAAATAAGGGCTAAATAAATAACAAATGATAAGTAACAACCAAATGACCACAAAAGGCACGTAGCCCCTGGTTGGTAGGTATTAAATTCACATTTTAATTTAAGCAAAATTTAATAATTAATTTTAATAATATATTTCATGATATTCATAACTTCTTAACAATATATTTTATCAATTTTTATCAAAATTTATTACAAAATTAATTTTAATTTCCACCAACGGAGTTTCTCCAATTTCCAAATAAAACTTACTTTTCTAATATTATTCACTTTATCGTAAGAGTAATTCCTCTTGTACTTATAGGCACCATATACGTGTTGTTCCTTTTTTCCTCATTTTTCTTTTCATCGACAAACGAAAAAATGTCAACTGTATGCCATGCAAAAACCCTATGAACCTCATCATGTACACATAGCAAAGCTCTTATTGTGAAACATGTATTTTCGAGCCATAAATGGTGAAAACTTCAAGTCGAAGAATAAATTAACAATTAAGCTATTAATTGTCAAGGGCAAATCTGTCCTCGGAAACCAATATGTTGGCGTCGTTGGACCTTGTTTCGCGCCCTTTCTCCCTCCCAAGTGGTAAAACATTTTTTTTTCCTAAACACAAATGTTTTTTCTGTTTTCAGTTTTTTCATTTAATATATTAACGCGTGATCGTACCGTAATTATAATAATATTTTGACAAAAAATGAGAAAAAGAAAATTTATATTTTTGTAAAATTCTATTATAATGTTTTCTATTTTAATTTACGCGTGATCGTACCGTAATTATAATAATATTTTGACAAAAAATGTTAATCTATAGCAAATCAATTCTCATTTTCAACCACACATTTTTCAATAAAATAATATTTTCCATCACATCAATAATATTTTCTTCTTTTTCAACCCCACATTTCCCATCATATCATTATTCAAAATCAATTTTTCCCCCAAAAATCCTTCTCAAACAAACTCTAAGCAAAATGGTAAGGTCGGGGCGGAGCCAGGAAAGTAACTCAGTGTGAGCACAATTTATTGATGTTGAACGTCGAGTTTTTGATTATGGATTTGATGATGACAACAATATAAAACAATATTACGACAATACTAAAAATAACATACTTTATAAATTACACTTGTTTCTTTCGAGTTTTTATACTTTAATATCGTTGTACAATAATTTCATTATCGAGCTTCAAAAATATATCTTTCACGACATAAACAATCGTACAATCATTCTTCCACTGATAACCCATCCGAT